GCCATGCTAAAGCCACCGTCATTCAGTGTGCAGGCATGTGCCGTGACGTTGTTCCCCGGCCACAACAGCTTTGCAAGGAACGTTTTTAGGCTGTCCTTGCCTAAACTGTTGATGCAAGCCCTGTGCTCACCCGGTATGAGGCATGCTGAAGCTGCCGTCATATGGGTGTGAAGCAAAAAGCACGATTTGTGTGTCAGCGAGCCCTGTCACATGAACCATCCCGGAGAATACACATTCTTCTTAGATCATCTCACCCCCTCTTCAGAATTGTTCTCATTATCTTCTCTTTGATTGTTCTCATTACCTTCTGGGTATATAAAAATAAAGCAGCCTTTCTCAGCACATAACAACCAATTATGTATAAATACAGTATTAAGAAAATAACTCAGATATTTTTGCCGATAAATTAGCTGCTGAAAACAAGGGGAAAAAAATGTCATTGTGTGACCATTTAACCCACTGAAAATCATCGGAGAGAATCGTCTGTCTGCAGTTACAATAACGCCACTGCCCTCAGCTGCAGCTAGCAACCAGCCTTACTGTTGTAAAGGTCACAGACCTAAGACCTAAAACCCTAATGTCTTGGGTTTTCTGGACAAGGAGCTTCTATGTTATTTCCCCCCTAGCCCAAGTTTCACCATGTTCCTGTCCTGCACCTGAAGTGACTAAAGGCTTAAGAGCAGTCAGCGTGCTTTACGTACTGCCAAGAGTACTGGAAGTAGATCAAGCCATCCTTGAGGGTTCAGTGGGTCCTCTTAATGACCAGGAGGTGGATGTGATGCTGGAGGTGCTCATCAGTGCCCTCGCAGACCCGTACGCTCCGAAACACGCGGGATGGCCGCATGGGCCAGCCAGTTACGGGTCAGATCCTCTTCACACGCCCTCGCTGCGTCTCGTGCAGCATCCGAGCCCCAGTGCCAGTGCAGAGAAGTCTGCCCCAGCTCCCCGCCCACCCAGCGGTGTGGGAAGTGTTACACAGCGAGACTCATGAACGCCATCTGCTCAGCTGGGGAGTCGGACTTTTTTTTCCCCTTGGTGTATAACAGTCAGTGACAGTATAAAGTAGACTAATACAATCTTACATCTTCCATTTCTGTATGCAGAGAAGAAAAAACAAAGTTCAAATGTACTTTCCGTCTCCCACAATATTGCTCTTAGTTTTCTAAATGAATTTGCTTGTACTGTTTCTTTAAAACAAGAAAAAAATCAGTGGGTGCTTGAAGTTTAACTAGAAGGAACTCTTATTCCAATAAGAAGTAAGAGGCGTAAATATGCACAGTGCTGACACCTGCACAGGAACATCACGTCTACAGAGGAAACAACCTTTTCAGCGGTGCCTTTATTCACTCTACTATGAAGAAAGAACACTACATTTCACACATTAATGCAAATACAATGAAAACTTCAGTGCAGACATGGAAAAAAAAAAACACTCCCTTTGAAACACGTGAAAACTCTGCACATCTTTTTCCTATTCTTCACATCCACCAGTAAGCAATCTTTTTTTTTTTTTTTTCCCAAACTATCCAAGTACTTGGGCTATCAGATCAGTGGGGCTGATTAGCCCCACACAAGAGTGTGGTCTGTTAATTACAGCGTGTGTTACTTGCAGCATTTCTGTGGCTTGGAATACCAATAACCCAAAGGGCCTCCCAGCTCTCCGGAAGATATGGCAGCTGGTTAGAGGCACACAGCCCAGGACTCCCCATTTTTAAAAGCTGCCCAGTGTGATTTTTCTTGCTTCACCTTTCCTTGTGAAAAAGCTGATGTTTCTAATTTTTTTATTATTTTATTTTGTTTTGCCCAGAGAAGTCCTCAACTGCACATGCAGCCACTTGCCTCTCGTGAGGTTTCCCAGGGAATAAATAAATAAATAAAAATTAAAATTAAGTTTAAAAAAGGGAGAAAATCAGTTCCCAGCGGGCTGCAACTGAGTGTCCCCAAAGAGGAAGACCCCAGCTGACTCTCAGGAGCATCACAGGGAGCTCGCCCTGCACCACGTAGGGAGCAGAGGTAGAAACAGCACTGCCATCTCCTGAGCACCAGCCCTGCATTCTAACAAGAGAACAAAGAGATGTTCCTCAGGCATGTGTTACCTATGGGCTGCACATCAGCTTCCCCTAGACTGATGAGCAGATAGAAGGACATCAGACATGCAGATACAAATGATCCCAAACTTTCCTCTATCTTTAATGCTAAATCATCTGTGCAATGTCCCCTAAAAATAATAGAAAAGGATTTTATTTCTTTTCTCAACTTCATTAAAAAAGAGTTGTTTTGTTTGTCTTGGGGAAGAATGGCAGAAGAAAAAAAAATGTTTTTAATGGCACAGTGATTGAGGGCAGGAAGAAGAGAGGAGACTGTTCACAGGGCTCATTAACACACCAAAACCTTTCACCTGTAAGAGTGAGCCCCACCAGCCCCAGGCTCCTGCTGTGATCAGCTTACATCCAAAAACTAGTTCTGCTCCTCCTCAGCCCAGTTCCCAGTGGGCATGCATCCGCGCGCCTCTAGCCGATCCCACCATTTCCACAACCAGCAGTCTCTGCTCAGAGCTAGAAAAAAAAGGGGAGGCAAGAGGATTTGAAGTGCTGATGCTTATCTGAAAGCGTATCCGCAAATAAGCAGAAGGCCGACTCCAAGCAAGGGGGTTGTTTCTGACTCCTGCAAGACACAGCAGCCACCAAATATGAAACTATTGAACCAAACGCACAAGGGTGGCACAGTTTGACACTTGCAAAGCATTTGCATGTGGACAGGACTGGCTTGTTGGGGATGATTAAAGCAAAGTAGATCAAACCTAGGAGCGCACGCTCCTGAGCGCTCTCCCAGGCGGCCAAGCCTAGGCAGGCTGCAGCAAAGCCCAACCAAGGGAAAACCCATTCCTTCAGAGGCTGGCGAAAATTCGGCACGCACCACCTGCCAGGAGCCAGGCATCTGCAGTAGCCCCGGCATGTCCACACCTCGCTCAGGGAGCGTGAGCCCCTCCTGGGGAGGGGAACATCCCTTGCCACTCCGAGTGGCTGTGCCACAAGCAGCCGGGCTCCCCCGCTCCACAAAACCCCTCAGCACAGGGCGAGGAGGGTGAGGCATTGCTCAGAGATTGTGGCTAGGTGTGGAGAGATGCCTTTGATGCCAGCGATGCTCTGCTGGACGGAGATGCGGCGAGCGCAGTGAGCGCACCCGCAGTGGCCTGCTTGCTACCAGAAGACAAGCCTGGGCTTACTGCTGCGGCCGTGGGACTCCTGCAGCAAACACACATTAACTTCATCCAGTCGTCTACGTTTTTCATCACTTGAATAGCAGATGGCATTTGTAACCTGCTCAAATGCATCGGCTCTCAAGACTACGCGAAGACATTAAATAAAGCAACTAATTCAACTTACTGTTCCAGCATCTTGCAAATTAGAGATCTATTTGTGGAACTGACGGAACATGGGAGGTGGGGGGAGGAAATGTTAATAGCACAATTATGCAGTTAATACCAGTTTAGTAAGTTATTCAACAAAAAAAAAATAAATGAGAAAGCGGCATTTGAAAACATTTAGCAAAACAAATTCTTAAGTGAGGATCGAAAGCCATCTGAATAAACTCGGCAGAAGTCTTCCACGGGCGTGGGTTTATAACTATGATTTATGTCCTGATAGCCAGGCAATGAATGCAGTTTGTCAGGCACCTGAGACAGCTTTACATTTATGATTCATTTGCACAAGAAATGCTTTCAACAGCTTCATTTTTTTTAATTTGTATTGTAAGACTATCACATTATAGGAAAGGCCACAGCCAACCCAAATAGGCATCTAGCCTAATATTCGGTTTCCTAAAGTGACCAACAGTGCGGAGCCAGGGAAGAACAAGGAGGCAACTGTACCTGCCCGCAGCACCCTGCTGTCTCCCACCACTTGCAGCGCAAGGGACTCGTTCCCACCAGGATCCCCCTGTTGAGTTGCCTCCATACATGAGCACAGATTTGTACAACGTCATTGGCCTTGCCTGATTTGGTAGGATAGCAGCTACTGGGCACCTGAAACAGTTTTATTTTTCTGAGGATAGCACCACTCTCAATATAGAAATAATTCAGTACAGGCATTACTGAACACTGGGATATGTACTCCAGGCTGCATGCACAAACATGCGTGCATGACAAAAGCCTGACCACAGTTTGCTCTTTCTTTACAGAAGAAGCAGTTCACCTCCTCGTGTCTTACAGAGAAGGAAGTTTTCATCCCCGATGTATTCCATTTAAATACAATGAACTCTTCCCTTATTTTAATTTATTTTTGAACCAGGCGAGCTGAATGTACTAAAGAGACGGTAGTGATATAAACTATATTTTAGTGTAGGGTGATGAAACTTGTAATGAACCATCCCACACACTTTTTATATCAGACGGCTTCCAGAAAAGTTATTTTAGATTATTTTTCTGTTGAAAAGTGGTTATGGCATTGTGAAAAACAGCCTACCCGTAGAAATCATCAAACACTTAGGTCCCCAATCTTTCAGTCAGCCCTAGGCTGGCAAATTATTTAAACTCCAACCTTGTTTTTCAAGGAATTCACCTACACCATCGTTGCAGGATCAGGCACCTCACCACAGGGATCTGCCTGGGTCTTCCCCAGTTTCATCATTATTGTGCTTGGATACTTAGGAGGAGTCATAGTGACGAGGATGACTGAGGATTAACCAAAAAAAACCATAATTTTCAATTTTTTTCAAAATGCAAACCACCATCAGACTGCCTTTGCATGGGCCATCTCCCTAGATTTTATGTAGGCATAAAGGAAGGGATCTGGCAAAGCACACACCGAACAAGCACTAGACGGTGACCGAGGCGCACAAGAAGTATTTTCAAAGCAGCTCTCTGGGAAATGAAGACAAACGCAGAATTTCGCTGTGCTCTAACCTGAGCACCACACAGTGCCCCCTGCTGCATACACAAGGCAACAGGCGAAACACCACCGAACAAGGACATTACCTGATACCAAATAAGATACGCTGCATGCTTGACTACTATTTATTTCCTTCATTACTCTTGTTTTCTAAAAATACTAATAAATTATACAAGCATCTTCAGTACTGGCTCGGAGCAGATGTTTTGCACGCTCCCTCTTCCCATCCAGCCTTCTGCGTTGTGTCTGCGAGCAAGCTGTCACCTTTCCTCCCACCACCCAGCAGTGGGAAATTCGTGCTGAGAGGGAGCCGAGGCGCTGGGCGGCCGGGCAGGGGGAGCACCCGGTGCTGTTATCATCAGATTTAATCACAGGACACTCATCGGGGCTAAACAGCACCGCGCAGCATGGTCTATACACTGCCCTTGTCCTAAATACCTAGAGTAAGAAATATATCGGGGAAGTGATGAAGCCAGGGGAAGCGCCCATCTCCCTGTCCTCTGAGCTAGAAGAAACAAAACAAAGAGAAACAAACATAAGGGAAGGTCAAACGTTTGATGTAGTTTCCAACTTCCAAATAAACGTGCATTAACAGCCTATAAAAGGTCCCTCACACGCAACATGAAAGAGGTAAATGCAGACTGAGGAACCGTGAGGCTGAAGAGGATTTATCGATTGTCAGACAGAGCCAGGGAGGTCTCCTAATGTGGAATACAAATATTTAATCTGATTCCGAAATCTTATCTGCTGCCCTTAAGAAGATTAACATAAATTCTCTTTCAGCAGACTATGAATTTCTGATCTATTGCATGAACTAGAAATATTTATCAAGAAGCAAGACTCGAGCATTTTAACCATTTTATTAGCATTCTACTCAAAATCACATTCAACAGAGGTGGCCAAAGTTCGAATCAGTTCAAGGAAATTACATCACACCAATGTTATTTGCATGCATGCATATTGCATGATGCAGACATGTTGCATCCATACACAGAGATGAAATCATAAGGAAGTTGTTCAAGATCTCTGTTCTTGTGAACAGCAGCAAAAAATAATAAAAAAAAATCAGGCATGAAGATGTTACAGCAGGAAAGTTCTTTCTAAAAAAAAAAAAAAAAAGTTTAAAAAGTCCCAGACTGATAATATCTGCACTAGCCTAGAATGAAGGGAGATATTTAAGAGAAGAAGCTATATTCAGGGGGGGAATCCGTACACACACCCTTTTTTCTGCCATACACAGACTGAGTACAAGGCAGACTGCTAACATCATGGCTGTGCACTGCTAGGCTCTGGCCTATGAATCCAAATAACTAGCCAGGTTTTAGGCTTGTCCTTGACACTTCTCTTCCCCCAAGTGGAAAGGGATGGGAGGAACAGCCATGCCGCAGAAAACTTGCTCCCCTTGAGCAACCCTTCTCGTTTCTCCCATTTCTGCCCATAAGCTCAGCTGGCACAGGGCCAGATAGGCAAGTCAAAAGCTTGTGGTATGTATTTGCTAGAAATCTGAGGTCCCCAGTATGGTTGGTCTGAAGCAAGAAAAGCATGGTGGATGCCATGAAGGAGGAGGTGGGAGGCTCCACAACCCTGCTCGAATTCAGCCTCCTCCTGCCCAAGAGGAGCTGACCTAGGTAGGGGTTCAGGTGGGATCGGTCAGCACGATGAGGCCAGCCCAGCAGCACACGTACTGACACTCCTGCTTTTTCCCTCAATAGCCAATTCTTAGTTGAGCCACCAGGCCACAGCCAAGCATTATCTCTGTGCTATTAGCCCTGGGGCTTTTACCTGAGATGTAAAGCAAGTCAAATAGCCTTGCGCTTGTCATGAGCAACACACAGTTGCAGCACCTCACCTAACTGGAGCTGAGCCTTTCATCTTGCCTTGACCCAAGGGCACCACAAATGAGTCCTCAAGTACCATGTTGTGTGGGCTTCTGCTTGCAGACTTGGAGGCAATGTAACGAATGGCACATGGACATGCGAATGTTTGCATGTTCACTGTAGTCAATAAAAAAATACAGTTTCATGATGAAGTACGAAATGCATTACCATTCTTAGGCTCTATATTAATTATTTTTACTATCTAGAGCAGAAATACTTCTTTTTCAAAGAAAACAGCACAGGATCACAGAGACAAATCGCTTCCTTCCTATCCTGCTGGAAGCCCACATGGCTGAGGCCTGCTCTTCAGCAGGGCACAGCGAATACCTCTTTGTTCTTTCTTTTGCACACAATAGCTGCAGTCACAAAATGAGTCTCCCCTCAAAAGTGTACACCAAGGATCCTTGCATAATTTCAGGCCGAGCATTTTAATTTCCCTGCATCTTCTTCCAGAGGTACCTAGTTAGCGAGATGTATGAACGCCTGAGGCAAAGCAATAATGTCACAGGTCAGACAAGTCCACTGACATGGGACACTTTTTCTAGTACAGCAGCCTAAATTCAAGTGCCCATTGCTGTATTTTCCTCATCTACCTACTGTGCAGCTAGTATGAAGCAGAAGTCCTGTGGAAAGCCACAGTAGATGATCACATATTCTCTCCTGCTCTCAGCTGTAAAATGGCAACAGCGATACATCCTCCCCTCAAGGAGTTTCTGTCATCACAGGAATGGAAAATCCATCATCCATGCTCTGCTATGGAAACAGTGAGGCCCACATACCTACCCCAATGGAACCTCACTCCATCATAATCCAGAGGCAAAAGAGTATCAAAAGTTAAGTTTGTACCAGAAATCACAGACTTGCCGTTTCTTAAGCCGTGAGCACTTGCCTTGTGAGCTTTTAACTTTAGGTTTTAGCACATAAATTCCTGAGGTACCTTAAGGAAAATAGAAAGGCTGCTCATTACGCATGCGCACACACAACACACACATTGCACGTGTACACCCCTGGATTATCTGCTTTCTCACATTGGGAAAGCCATTCTGCCAGAAAGTACTGCCCTGGTGGGCCTCATTACTGAAGGCTAATCTCGTGTTGCCGCTACCACTCCTGCCACCAGGAGTACTTAGTGCCAAGAATACAAGCTTGTATAAAACTTTAACAGTTTTTCTTCCTTCTGCTTTATCTGCAGCCAAAACATTAATTTTCTGTGTGATATACCCAGTAATACGTATGGAGAATACTTACTGGCACCACCAGCTACTGCCTTATGCTCGTCATGAATTTAAACTAGCCCAAAAAGCTCCACGTGAGGCAGGTTGCATTGGACGCTGCCTGCTGGACTCGCTCCTGAGCTTTCGCACGCGTGTTCTCCACTTGAGCTACATCGGATGATAGGGAAGGATGGTGGCTGCTTGGGGAGGAAGCAGGAAGGAGAAAGCCATGCAGCGCCAGCACCAAGCGCAGGGCCCGGGGGTGCTCCGTCCAACTCCCAGCTGGAAGATGAGAGGCTCGTTTATCAGCTGGTGCCCTCCGGCAAGGTGCTGAGGGTAGGAGCTGGGCGATGGGAAGCTATCCTCAGCCTTGCAATTTCCTAGGCAATCCCAGAGCTGTTCTGGATGCTGCTTTGAAGGCTGTGTGGTGAGACATAATACATATTTTGCTGGCACACCTCAAGTTTTCTCAGGGGATAGAGACCACAGTAAGAAAATTTTCAGTTTCTCGCCTCCCCCTGGTAAAAGCTGAACTTCATGAATTGAAGAAAAGATGCTCCCCTGAGCCAAAGGCACCTCCTCAGGGGAATTTACAAGCCTGCCACAAACAAAACCAGTTTTAGAGCTCCTCTCCCCCACTCCCTGCTCCTCCTAAAACGGGGGAAAAGCAGTCTTTCATAACACTGTGCATTTGGTGGCCTAAATATAGGTGCTACCAGATGCCCCGCTGACGCAAGGGGGTCAGAATTTGAGAACGCGAGAAAATGACTCAGTTTCCGTCAGGAAAGTCGACCTGGCACAATTAACCTGAGAGCGGCAGCGGGACGAGGCTCCAAAGCACTCGTTCCTGAGGCGTGCTTCTGCTGGGAGAAGTCAGGCAGTTCAGGACGGCCGAGGGTCAGTTCTCACATTTACACCTGACAGCATTAATTCCTTTGGACATGAAACACCCCCGGAGCCCATCTGAAAAAACAACGCCCTTCTGCCGCGACGTCCTGATGTCATTTCCCAACCTCCTCATTCAGACGCTGCGAGTAACACGCCGCCACATCCAGCCTCAGTGGCGGCTGCCCCCAGTGCAGAGAAAGGAAAACTTGGTTACGTGCCTGCAAAGCCATCGGGCTCCTTTGAGAAACATCCCCTTTTGCTTCTCACGCGGGTACCCACTGGCCACACACCCCTCCTGATCATCTTTCCAAGTTCTGATGCACTTAAACATGCTTTTTGCAACTATAAGCAGTTTAACACTTTTTCCCTTAAATGTGAGAAGTAAAACACCATACTGTGCTCTGTCCCTCTATGAAACTGCCCACACAGCTTCTTCTGACCCAAGAACGCTTTCCCTCCCTCCCATTTTTCTCCGCAAGCCCACACACATCAGGCAAACTTACATTACTTGAGTTTTATGATTAGCCGCCTGCTGGACCTCTATCAGAGCAGATAAACAGGACCGCATGGAAAAATCACAACCAGAAGGAAGAGAGGCATACAAACGGGCTCCCACTAACCTTTCGCCAGGGTGGGGGAGCTGGGCAGGCTGGATCCACGGGGGCCCAACCCGGGCAGCAAAGTCGCTCCCGACGGCGGACGAGCAAGTGAGCAGGCAGGGAGAGCTGGTGGCTGGGCGGGGAGGAGGAGCGTACCCGGGCAGACAAGTGGTTAGCAGCTAGGCTGGGGAGCAAGCAGCCAGGAATTGCAAGTAACTGTCAGCTGCCTGGGAAGCGGCGCGGAAGGAGTAGATGTTCACTGCCAAACTGCCCTGAGCTGTCAAGTGGATGCTCTCCTCGCTCCACGTGGGGCTAACCCTAACCCTAACCCTAACCCTAACCCTAACCCTAACCCTAACCCTAACCAACCCTAACCCTAACCCTAACCCTAACCCTAACCCTAACCCTAACCCTAACCCTAACCCTAACCAACCCCAACCCTAGCCCCTACACCACCAGCAGGCTTCCCCGCAGCTCCCTTGCTGGGAATGACGGGCAGTCAGCAGGGAACAAGCACATGCATTTGAGAGCTGCTATCATTTTTGGGCACGACCTGCTCCTGCAAGCTGTCCTCCACACCAGCCTCAAGGCTTTTTATTGCCAAGGTAGCTGAGAAGTTGCCAAAATGCTGAGATTGCCACAGCTGCACTGATGGCCTCAGAAGGTCTCCAAAAGCCCAAAGCAAGGCAGACATTTAATAAAATTTCCAGATATTACTTTAGTGAGAAACAGCAAGCAAACAACAACAACAAAAAAAAACCACAACCTCTGACCTACAGCATTGCTACCCAATTTTCTGTTAGAACATACCTCTGATGATTGTAACGCTCGTAATTACAAAGCTGAATGCGTTTTCATCATGGATGGATTGTTGTGGGTGAAGTAGCTTTTGGAAGCCAAATGACTAAAGATCTTTCACAACCACAGTCTCAGAGCAGACGTCATTCGAAAACCCAAGAGGATTCAGGTCCAAGCCCACAGACTCAAACCTCAATGAGATCGAGCTGGAGCCAAAATAGCAAAGACCTTAATTTTCCAGCCAGGATGCAACAAAACCCTCATACAGGAGAGGAGATCCTGGGGGTTGCCACTGGGGATAACAACCTCCACATTGCTCTCAAAACATTTCTGGTTTAAAACAATCAAATTCTTGTGAGAATAATCAGCTCTTATTTACAGCATTTTTGACCAAAGACTTTGCAGGATGCATTCACAAGATTTCAATGTCACTGAAGCATGTAAAACATGGTCTTACCTCCAGCCCACATGAAAATATATTATCTTTTAGTAAAAAAGAGCCTTTACAGCACCACATCCTATTTTGACTCTCCTTTTGTTCATGTTTCCACTCCTAGAAGTGGTAATTAATCACCTTTTTCAACAGACTTTCTGCCTAGTTTTCCGTAAACATAATTTGCGTCAAAAGGACATTACAAGGGAGCGGGTCATAGCATCACCACACCTCACTGCCTTTTCTCCAGCGGCATGCTCGGCCCTGCATTGTACACAGAGGCAAAATTGTTGTGTGGTGGTTAGTGTCAAGCTTTCATGTTAATGGCCAGCCTCTAGCACTGATAGTCTTCAGCGTTTTGTGCAGGTCTAGCAAATAATTATGCCTGTAGTGTTTCTGGCTATTTGATGCAGCTTTGGTTGATCCTAAGAGTCAAGTTCCTTTCAACTAGCAGAAATGCAAATACACGTTAGAGAAAAACGCATCCTTGGCATTATAATTTCTACTTATGCAATCTCCTACTGGTGGTTCCACATAGTTCTGCTTCACGGGCTCTTTGTAACTGAAATTTACCTTCAGACACCTACAGTTGTAGCACAAACACACTGAAGAGGTTTCTAACACCCGTCCCCAACCATTTTCTGATGGCAGAAGTGTCACACGCAGCCTGGCACACCTTCCATCTGCAGCACAGCCCTCCTGTGGACAGTAAGGAGGGCTTTGCCTTCTTGTCCAGCCAAACAGATACATTTAAATAAGTGAAGAGCAAAAAAATAAGAGAGGAATAGTTCTACAACATAATTGCATACTTACTTATAAATAGCATGTTTTCCACGTGTGTCAGATATCAAATAGCTTAATGACAACTGATAACTGGCTGATTTCTGCAAGCTGCCATCAGCTGCTATTTTCAAGAGAACACGAGCTATTCCTAATACCGCAGTACAACTCCACTTAGTTGTGTAGGAAGCTTACATTTTTCAACCAGATGGCAGGTATATACTATTTTAACCAAAATCCTGTTTTAAGAACACTGGTCGATATAATGACAGTGCTTGACAAGCCAAGAGGCAGATGAAAGTAGATAACTACATAATACCATTTAGTATCGCCCTTTAAAAAAAATAACATACTTATGAACGGCAACAGATGGGCTGGGCACACAGGCTGCATGACCTCATTTACTGAAAAAAAAAAAAAGGAAAAAAAAAAGTGGTTTTTTGTTTATTTGGATGTGTTTTTTTTTTAATTAAACTTCAGCCTTTATTTCCGAAATACACTTTGCAAAACTTGGATGTGATTTTTTTTCTCAGTCCAAAGCCTCTGTTCCCGAGTCCCGTGGAACAGAGCTGTTCTGCTCTATTGCAGCGTGATTAATGCACGCAACTGCATCAGCACCCAGCGAGGGAAAAAAGCCCGAGATGCACAGCCACCTCTAGAACACAGGGCTCGGTGCGATACAAATAATCTGGTGTAAAAGCTCTCTGTCATTAGAGCAATGTCTACTAATTAGCAAATAAATTATTTACACTGGCATTTCTATTGCAGCAGAAGCCCATTATCCTGTTCTGTCTCATTGGCATCTCTTAAATAGCAACAGCAAACAGGAGCTGTGAGCTACAGATTACATCTTGCAGAAGCGAAATAACTCAGCATTTTTAATAGGCAGGAATTCAGAACTGCCTCAGCCTGGACACACTTCCTCTTCCTTCCCAGCCCCTTTCCACGCCTGACCGACCACAGCCCCATATTCCTCCTGCTGGCACGGGACGTGGTTTGCCCTCCCATACTCACATGGTGCCGGGGTCCTTCCTTCAGACGCAGGCGCTGGCTCAAGAGGAGAAGCAGGCACAAGAGAAGCAGCCCAGGTGATCCCTGCGGCTTCTCCTCTCCTCAGTGGCACACCCTCACAGGTAATCTGAGCAGAAAAGACCTGATGTCCTGCCAGTCACATACACCGAGCCTTGGGTTTCTCTAAAGCCATACCAAAGCTCTTAGGAATAGCTGTCTGTATATTTACTTTTGAATTTTTTTTCTTTTTTTTTTTTTTCCCCTTGGATGTAAGCCTAAGTGAGAAGGAAGCAAACTCTCTCCATATTTCACACCCATTCACACTGCATTTTTTTAAGGGTGTTGCTTAGAAAAAAATAAAAAAAAATAAAAAAAAATTACAAGCTCGTTCAGCTCCAAATGTCCAACCAGACAGTCATGTATTTTCCTCTGGTTATACTGACTCGGTTATTTTCCCACACACTCCTGATGCAGCAAAGGACTTGTCTGAGCAAGCAAGACAACGCTTTAGGCAGCAGATTAGAAAATATAAATGCTCACGGAGCCCAGCACCGTGTCCCATACAGTGAGGCTTGGCTTTCCATCAGCAGCCAAGGCATTGGGAGGTGCACAACTCTCTGAAGGCTTACACCAGGGACACGCCACCAGGTTCAGGCACCCACCAGTGCAGACCCAGGAGAGCCACGGGGCTGTGTGGGCTCCACACAGGCACTGAGGGAGCAGAGTCATTAACAAAAAGATTCTCAGGAACATCTGTAAAGTGAGGAATGAACAGCACATCGTAAGGAATGTCCTGGAGCATGTTTCCCAGCGAGGCTGTGCTGAGACCTTGGAGGCTCTCAGAACCTGGCTGGATCGAGCCCTGAGCAAGGTGGTCTGATCTCAAAGCTGGCCTTGTCCAAAGCAGGAGGCTGGCCTAGAGACCTCCTCAGGTCCCTTCCCACCTGAGTTTTCTTCTGGTCTTCTTGTGTCCGATGTCCTCACTCACTCCTGGCCTCATTCTGTCAGGTCACCTAGCGTTTCACCATTGCAGATCAATGCACTGCTGGCCACGCACTACCCAGGCCAGCAAGCTCTCACGAGCCCAACACCCTCAGAAGAATTTCAAGGCCCATTCAATACAAAGGTCTAGCAAGGCTCCCTCCTCCAGCCACAAAAGTCTCAGGCCCAAGATTTCCCTCATGGCCCTCACTGAAGAGCTGTTGGTTAACCCGGTCCCCACGAGGACCACAAGCTGGCTGTCCAGCTAGCCTGACAAACCATCGCAACCTCCAGTCCCTCAGGAATGGTTTCCAGCAGGTCCACAGCAGCTTTTGCTGGGAAACGAGCAAGAGTTGAGCTCCCATTTTGAGAAAAGGATGGTTCTGGGAATTACATTGGAGGTCAAGTCCTCAAAATTTTTCTAAAATGCCAGAAGGCCTTACAAAATCTCTGTGAAGCCATTCCCATAGCTGTGCAGAACACCTGGGGAGATGTAGCCGTACACTACTTAACTGAAATGGTGTCAGGCAGTCATGGAGCAAATGCAGTCCAGGCAATGGGTTTGCCCCCGTAACCCTTGGCCTGAGCAATGCAACCGATAGTTTGTCTTTCTCAGCTCATTTTCTTAGTAGACAGCTCTTCGAAAACAGTCAGTTCGTCAGAAAAGGAAACCAAGTTAATCTCTGTAATATCAGGTATTTGGAACTACTTTTAGCACACACCCCAATACACAACACGCAGGGGGGTAGGAGCCAAGAAATGCAGAGATAAATAACGTCTCGGCTCCAAGGAAGGATTTTCTAGATTTCTCTGTGAGCTTACACTACTCACTTTTTTTTTTTCATTGAAAGAAATCTGCATGAATCTAGCAAGAATAAAGACATCACTAGAATAACTGAAAATTTGTGTCACATTAAAATCTTAGCTGGAATCAGGAGTGAATTTTATAGGCGGCAATAATGAAACAATGCTGAGAAGTAGCACCCTGACACCTCTTTTCACAGACTCTTTGCTTGAAATTGCAATTACAGTAAGTAGGAAGACAAATCTGACATTAAAAAAGTGACGTTGTAACAAAAGAAAATGCTGTTTTTGGCTAGAGAGGAGACCCTGAATCACAGGCATGGCTTTACGATGGAGTACAACCCACTGGCTGCTGAGGCCCCAGCAGATCATGCAGGGAGGGTTGGGCAGGGTCATCTCCAAGTTCCTGGCTTGTGCTGTGCTGAAGAGCACGGCCAAGGTGCTTGGGACCACGTCCCACCAGTCAGCAGCACAGAGCAACTCGATTTTGT